CTACAAAGAAGTCAACTGGAATTCTGATGGGGATTGTGTTGATTCTGTAGATCAGCATGGCAAATAATCTTCTTTTTCACAATATTAAATTTTCCCATTTATGAATATGTTTTCCATTTATTTAGATTTTTAAGATTTCTTTCAGTAATGTTTTTAGAGTGCAAGTTTTACAGCTCTTTTGGTTAAATTTATTCCTGGGTGTTTTATGCTTTTCGATGCTATTGTAAATAAAACTTTCTTAATTTCATTGTTGGATTGTTCATCGCAAGTATGTAGAAATGCAATTGATTTATGTGTATTGATTTTGTATTTTGTAACCTTGCTGAGCTCCTGTATAGTTCTAATGGTATTTTAGTGGATTCCTTAGAATTTTCTATATTGAAGTCCACGTCATCTGTGGCTAGTTTTACTTTTTCCTCTCTAATGTGAATGCATCTTAAAGTGTTTTATTGAACACTTTTACATATCTTGCAGGAGGGGTTCAAGATCTATTTTATTTTATTTTATTTTTTTGGAGAGGTTTTTGCTATAGGGCGCGTGTGCTCGCCAAAAAGACAGAGAGAGACAGAGAGACAGAAAGCAAGAAATCACCCCCCAGGGGGGATGGCCATGCCGTAATCCCTTCTCCACCATTCTCCTCTCAGGATTTTGGACATGCACGCACACACATCCGATGTGAGTTTAAACCACCGGGTCCAGCACTTAAACCACGGGTGCACAACATGGGAGTCCAGCAACCTAGCCATTACGGTAACTGCTGGTCCCAAGATCTATTTTCATTTATACTATTTGAAATGAAAATGGCATCAGTTTCTACTTATTCGCTGTTTCTTATTGTATTCCTTTCTAATTCATTATTTATTGGTCAGTGATTTCACATTACATAGGGTTATTTGATTGCCATAGTAACAAACTTTAGATAAGCTAAGCTAAAAATAAAACCAGAAAATAATTATGGAATGCATAAACTCTTAGCAATTTGTGCTTTGTGTCACTTGACTCAAGATTTAAATTTAAGTGTCTGATTGACCAAGCTTAGAAATCACATGCTCTCTTGGGACCAGCAGATGGTATCATGATCACATCACTGGATTTCCATGTAGTAGACCATGGTTCGAGTCCTGGACCTGGCAGCTTAAAACTCACACTGAGTACAAGATCCTAAGAAGTGAATGGAGGAGAAGGAATTGCAGCATGGCCATCCCCAGTAGGTAGTGATTTCTCACTTTCTGTGTCTCTGTCTCTCTAGCAAACTCACGTGCCCTATAACAGAAATCTCTCTCTCTAAAAAAATAAAAAAGAAATCACATGCTTTCTTGGGCGTACCATGGTGATGAAAAGAAGGATTTGATGAACAACATCTTCAGGAACTTTCATCGTATGAGGCATTTACTTTCCACCAAGAGGAACATTCAGTGATAAATCTTTCCAAGTAAATTTGGGCTCATTAAAATAAAGGGAACAGACCCTACAGGACTAACAACGTCAAATACTCAGCATAGCTCTTCTCTAAAATGCAAATGTGGTATCACTTCTATTCTTAAAGACTTCATCAGCTCTTACTACTTACAAGATCAAACTCTAAATCCTTAACATGGCAACAAATGTCCAGTAAATGAAGTTTTTCCACACTTGCCCTTCCGTCCCATGGGCTATGTGTAGGGCCCTCTTTTCTCTCTCTCTTTCTTTCTTTTTTGAGAGGTTTCTGTTATAGGGAGCGCACACTTGCCAGAGAGACAGAGAGAGACAGAGAGACAGAAAGCATGAAATCACCCCCCAGGGGGGATGGCCACACCGCAGTCCCTTCTCCTCCATTCTCCTCTTGGGATCCTGGGCATGCACGTGCACACGCACCCGGTGTGAGTTTCAAGCTGCCGGGTCCAGCGACATAGTCACTATGCTAACTGCTGGTCCCTCTTTCTTTTTTTTTTTAAGAGAGATTTTTGCTATTAGGGTGTGTGTGCTTGCTGGGGAGACAAGAGACGGAGAGACAGAAAGTGAGAAATCACACCCCAGAGGGGATGGCCATGCTGCTGCAATCCCTTCTCTGTTCTCCTCTTGGGATTTTGGGCATACAAGCACTGGGCCTGAGTTTAAGCTGCCACGTCTAGGACTCGAACTGAGGTCCACTACCTGGGAGTTCAGCAACGTACCATCACACCACCTGTTGATCTCCAAGGGCCCTCTTTTCACAGGGCTTATCTGAGCCTCCACATCCTTGGTAATGTGGCTGTCTGATCCTCCCCATGGGAGAAAGAACAAAAGGTTCCTATACCAGAGGCGGACACGGAAGAATTTCTGCTTTTCCCTCCCTTGGCACAAAACACATCCTTGTGTACATTTTCTTTTTTTGAGAGGTTTTTGGTATAGGGCGCGTGCACTTGCCAGAAAGACAGAGAGAGAGAGAGACAGGAAGTGAGAAATCACCCCAGGGGGTTTGGCCACACCGCAATCCTTTTTCCACTCGGGATCTTGGGCACACATGCGCACACGCCCAGCGTGAGTTTAAGCCACCAGGTCCAGGACTCGAACTGCGGTCGACTACATGGGAGTCCAGCGACATAGCCCTTATGCCAACTGCTGGTACCCTGTGTACTCTTAACACTTAGGAGCACCTGCTGTATGGTTGGCGTAAGATGACGGTCCCTATCCTCAGAAGATGTGAACTCTATGGAGCAGAAAATGGTCAAAACGGAAAGGTTGGTGCTCTTCAAGTCTGGGTCTCCCACACACGGAACGGGTGTTTGTTTTTTTTTTTCTAGTGCCCCTCCCAAGCCCCACCCCACCTCTCCTTCCCCGCTGCACCCAGTTCCCTGGCTGTTCCAGTGGGATTCAGTCTGGGTGGTCTCCAGCGGCTCTGGGGCTTAGTAGAGCAGAGCAGTGCTTGCCTAGCAGCAGCCTGACCGCGAGGGAGCCCGCTCGCCCTCACCATAAGGCAATCTGGCGTGTTCGAATCCTTCGGCCCAGCGGGAGGCGCAGACCGAGGCCACCCAGGAAAGCTGCGTGTCTGAAGTCTCAGGTCAGAGTCTGAGGCGACCCAGTCTAAAGAGGCCGTGTCTTTCACCTGGTTCAATAGGCCAGGCGTTCCCCGAGGGCGCGAACTGTGGGCTGCCCTTACCGCACTCCTGGGCTCCACCCCAGCTGGTTCCCGGCCCTGTCCGGTGGTTGGCCTCGGGAACGT